TCCCAATCTATGACCTAATCTTTTTTCCCTAATTTGGTGGGAGAGTGATATGCCAACCACCTTCCATATGCATTAGGGAAAATTTTCTAGTGCTTGTTTTTCAGTTATGATGGTCACCGTTAGTTATTTTTGGTCATATTATGATCAATTAAGTTTTTTAGTCATATAATAAGAAATGCTCTCTCTTTTAGTAATATTAGAATAAATATTCTTATTTTTACTCCTATAAAAGGCAATTTCTTAATATGTACTCTAAACTTTATACTTGTATAAAAAGTTATATTAGTTCCACGATTATATATATTTTCACAATTGTAATTTATGATGTGAAGTACATAATTTAAAATACACAAAACATTTATGAGTATGCAATTAAAATTAAATTAAATTGGATGTAATATTATTTATTTCACAAATGAAATTTTAGAATGTTAATTGCATTCTAACAAAGCTTGGAATATATGAATTATTAATTATTTCAATAAATTTATATTTGTAAAAAACATACAATAATGATCCGAAAATAATTTTTTATATAGAGTTTGGCGTATATATACTACATATATGTTTGAGGTTATCTCATGCTCCATTAAAGTTTGAGATATTTAAATTATTTGTCTTAGATTCTTACATCCGTTTTATTTGACCTCAAGTACTTTATATTTCGAATAATCTGCGAACTAAGTAAAAGTTGATTTTAATGATTTCAATTCAAATGTTGTTTCTAGACTTTCTTCCACGCCAAATACACATTAAATATTCATTACAGTAGAATATCACACCCGTTTATCAAACATAGCTCTTGAAATGGTGCACACACGTCTTCTCTCATTGTAAAAAAGAAGAAAATAAGTTAGCAATAATGATGACATTTACAAAAATGTGACAAATATACATATTCTATCATTGAAATTTTGGTTTGACCTACTTAATTGTATAATTTGAATCCCCAACGCTATATACCCTTGGTTATGTTCAAGACAAGGTATGCACGAAGAAATATTGGTACAAAGTGACATCTTGGTGATACTTTTTATAGAAATCGTGCTAAATTGGACTAAAGTTTGCCTAAGCACAAATAGGAATCCTTAAATCATTCACAAATAGGATTAAAAATTGATTTTCTACACCAAATACCCCTAACGGTATGTGTTGGTCCAAAATAGGACGCTCGTAGGCTTTTAGGAAAGCTACGTACGACACTCAAGCAAGAATTAGGAAAGTACGAATATGGAAAGTTAGCCAGAAATAACATATAGAAGTGTTTCCCTAATCTGAATTACAACCCGCCTTTTTATATGTGTATACAAATTGCAACCGTTACCGATAATAATGATTAATTAATTACAACATTAATACGGATTAAATACATAATTAACAGCGCACTAATTGCTTGACCGTTACTCTTCCGGACCGGGAGGTCGCCCGGACTGAAAGGCTCCCCGCTGGGCTGGCAGGCAAGCTCCAAGTTGTGGACTTGGATCCACGGGTCCAAGTTCGGGGCTTGGGTTGATTAGGCTCTGGGCCTAGTCCCATTACTCCATCACGAGTCCCCCACTCCTTTAGTCGAGTAGTAGACTCGGTTAAGAGGGAGAAGTACAAGTCAGTTGCTCTTCTCCGAGACTAGAAGATCCCCGCCCTTATCTATGTTGGGGAGATGCCCATTAAAAACCTTCATTAGGAAAAAACCCAATGGGAAAAAATCCCAATGAAGGAAAAAAGAGTACATCTGACGCCCCCAAGATGAAGCAAGAGGTGAGATCCTCAGACTTTATTGCAATCTGCTAGAACTGTTCTTCTCGTCGGGCTCAGACTCGTCAAGTTCTTCATTTGCTTCGTTGAAGACAGTAAGACCCTCAGTTCTCCACTTCATTCAGTTGTACCTACACATAAAAGAAACTAGTGTAGAATAAAGCATCTGGCCTGGTGTTGAACCACAGCTCAGTGTGTAAGTGAGTCGGACTCACTACTTGAAAAGAGTGACATCGAGTTCCCAAGTTAGGCCTCAACCCAGTCTCCTAAAGAAAGATTGAATCCACGAGTAAGTGAGTCGGACTCCTCACTCGAACGGATAATCCAACCCCAAAGAACAAAAGTATATTAACTTTTTCGAGAAATGTGAATGCCAATTAAGTGACAAAATTGCTCGGAAGAACGTGGCTCTAGGCCCCTAACAAGAGTTTAACTCGCCGCCCGAGGTCAGTAGTTCGAACCCACAAGTAAAAACTTTTTGACGGGTGACTCGTCCCCAGAGGTCGGAGTGTGATGCACTAGGAAAGGGTAAGAGCACGCAAGAACTCATATGAAGTCAAGAGTGTGTGGTATTAACATTTATATTGGAGCTTATTAATCGCCACACTCATATGACGTGACCCGGTGGCGCGAGTGTGTGTGCTCGGCCAGTGTACGAGTGTGTGTGCTCGTCCGGTGTACGGGAGTGATCGGATTTCATAAGTCCATTTTTCAATGTTAAAATTACACACGCTTAACAAGAGTAAAAGCAATTAAACCACTTAAAATACTTTTCAAATGTTTCAGTTTATATTTTTTTTTTGTTGAACTTGATCAATTTTTTAATGATGCTCCGTATAAAATTGATTCATTGAAGAGTAAACTTATCTTTATTTGGAAGCCTTCCAAAAGAAAACCACTCCATATGGGCTTGGCCCATAAATGTTGTCCGTCCCAAGTGACAAATGGGGAACCTCATCGAGTCACCATCTGCTATCACCCGCAAAGAGAGGAGCGAAGCAATATCTTGTCACCACTTGGCGCTGGCTACTGCTGCCGCCGCCCGCCGAGAGGAGTGTTTGGCAAAGTCGTTGTTGTCGGCCGAAGAGGAAAGGACCTTGACCGTCACGCTTGTCGGGCCCTCTATTCCTGTCGTTGCGGTCAGGGCCGTTATTTGCCGGAAAACCCGTCCAGAGGTCCCTCTGAGAGACTGCTGCGACCTTGAGCTATTGTGTCCAGGCGTGGTGGTGGATCGAGGCAGGAAGCGGCGAGGCGCTGAAACGAAGGCGGTGGACTCTAGCTGGTAGCATCCACCCACAGACATTCCGGCTCAGTGGCTCACATTTTGGAGCGGCGGATCGTTCTGGAGCATGGCGGCGGCCGGAATGGCGATTACAACTCCGGCTCCTTTCTGGGAACTTCAAACGCAAATTTCCTGATCCAATTCCTTCTTTTCTTTTTTCTTCTTTTTGCAGATTGTGTTTTGCTTGATTTTCTCTATAATAGGGATGAATTTCTAGAAATTTCTTGGATCATTCTTACTCGAGTGATGTGAGAGACTAAAGAATCTCTCAATGAAAGCACCAATGTTGGTCCAAAATAGGACGCTCGTAGGTTTTTAGGAAAGCTACGTACGACACTCAAGCAGGAATTAGGAATGCAAGAACGAGAATGGAAAGTAGCTAGGAGATTTAGTTTCCAGAAATAGCATCTAGAATTTGTCTCCTAATCTGAATTACAACCTACCTTTTATAGGCGTATACAAATCGTAACCGTTACCGATAATAATGACTAATTAATTACAACATTAATACGGAATTAAATACATAATTAATAGCGCATTAATTGTTCGACCGTTACTCTTCCGGGCTAGGAGGTCGGCCGGACTGGCAGGCTCCCTGCCGGGCTGGCAGACAGGCTCCAGGTTATGAACTTGGATCCATGGGTCCAAGTTCGGGGCTTGGGCTGATTAGGCTCTGGGCCTAGTCCCATTACTCCATCAGTATGAATTCATAATGAAGTATTTTAATTCATAATGAAATATTTTAATTCATAATAAAATCATAAAAAATCGTAAAAAATATTATATTTATAAAATAAAAATTTCAAAAAAATGATATTTTAAAGAAAATAGTAAAAAACCATAAAAAATTATAGATAATATACCATTCGTACAACCAACACCACAACCTTCGATCATGAAAAAATTTTCATTTTTTGTAAAAAGTGTCATTTTTATGAAAATGCCAAGAAAATGAATTATTCTTGTTGATAATGCCAAAATTTTATTGAAACTACCATTATTATGGCATTACTGTTGGCAGAGGCAGCGACATTTTTTTACGTTTTTTAAAATTTTTATTTTATAATTATTTTTTTATTATTTTTAATGTTTTACAATTTTTATTATTTTTTACGATTTTATTATGAATTAAAAACATTTCAAAAGCTACAAAGATATATTTGTTCAAATATACATAAGCAGTCATACTATGGAAATATAAAACAATGTAGTTTTATTTGTTATTTTTGGTCTTCTTTTATTCCTATATAGGTAATTCACTTTACTTTTTATACTAAGTGTGGTTCTCTATATACCATAGACTCCATGTGTCCCATGGAATATTGCATACTTTGATTTGGCCGGATGTGAAATAAGAAAAATAAAAAGTGTATGATTGAAATTCGTGTAAAAAGAGAAAATGTATTTAGAACAAATAATCAGGTTGTGTTGTATATACATTTCATTGTTGTTATTATTATTGTTGTTGTTGTTGCTGCTATTATTGTTGTTGTCATCGTCATCATCATCTTGGTCTGATTTAATATTCTTTGATGTGTTATGTCATTTCAAATTGTTCTGATACTGATATGAAATTGAAATCAATCTAGATAGAAATATTGTAACAATTTTTTTACCAAAAAATGTTACTCCCTCCGTCCCATATTTATCTTCGTAGTTCGGTTTACGATGCTTGACTGACGATAAAGTAATTTGATCCTTTACACACTCAGTTTATTTTTAGTAAATGAAATTTACATATTCAGAATCTACATTAAATCTGCTACAAAGTCTGATCAAGAAAATTTAAGTTTGATAAAAATTTGATATATAAAGTAAAGAATTAAGAATAATTTGAGTTGATCATGTGAACAGTAAGTATGAAAATAAATATGGGATGTAGGGAGTACAACTTTAAAAACAAATTCTAAAAAGCCTCACTCATCTCCACCATTAAGAACACTCATACGGAGTCATGTGCTACGGAATATAATAGTCAAAGCCTCAAAGGGTACGCAATTTATAGGATTTTCCTTATTTGTAAGCATAAAACTATAATAACTAAACCTCTCCTCTCGAGAAACAAAAACTAAACCTCTGAAGCCTCCTCCTCCTTGTCAAAGTAGAACTCTCAAGTGTATGTCCTCATACAACTCTATCTCTCTACTAATCCTACCATAGAATTGAAGTCTCCCCTGCACCAATGCATATATAAATACTTGGTATTACTTCGTCTTATCCTTTGATCGGCATTCACAAGAACGCAACAAACAATTGGTTCTACTGTAGTTGGAGAAGAAAGAATTCATCAGGTGAGGGTAACCAAAATGGGGAAATTTGCACGACCCTTTATCACAGCCTTTCTTGTGCTGGTTTTGTGCTTCCTGGCAGCCATGGCAGAAGCTGAATACCTCAAGTACAGGGACCCTAAGCAGCCACTGGGTGTTAGGATCAAAGATTTGATGAAAAGGATGAACCTTGCGGAGAAAATCGGGCAGATGACTCAGATTGAGAGGAATGTTGCCACTGCTGATGTTATGAAGCAATACTTCATTGGTATGCAATTTATCACTCTCCATACATTTTTGTTCTTGAGGTCTTCCGTTTTGAATAGCTCGGCTAAAATTTGAATCTTTCACATTAATTTGTTTCAATAAATACCCATAAATATAGGTGTATATATTTTCTCAAACAACTTCCTCTCTCTCGGTTAAATATTGAAAAGATACTAAAGATCAATTTACTAGTGTGTGGGGTGTGTTTTGCTTCTTTACTGTTTATGTTCTTAATCCGGTAGATTGCTATAATAGATGGCTGTGAATTTCATTGACTTTAAATGTGATTAAAAAAGAAAGGGGTTGACTATTTTGATAGGGAGTGCATTGAGTGGAGGAGGAAGTGTGCCTGCACAAAATGCCAAAGCTGAAGATTGGATGGACATGGTGGATGATCTTCAGAAAGGGGCACTTTCTACCCGTCTCGGGATTCCTATGATTTATGGAATTGATGCAGTTCATGGCCACAACAATGTCTACAAGGCTACTATTTTTCCTCACAATATTGGCCTTGGTGTTACCAGGCAAGTACATTATTAACTTGAAGGGAAATAAACTGCTTTCCAATCTACAAAGATTTTAAATGCCCTCTTCCAAAAACATGTTTGGAAAACCTTTTTTCTCCCAAAAAAAACTTTTTTCCGTTAAACCTGAATTTTGGTTGGTATTGTTATAACTTTCCAAAGAACAAAACTAAGCTCAGAGGATGTTATATTTTAAAACAAGTACGCTTATATTTGTAGCACTGCTGTTTTAAAAATGGTGCAGTTTGGTAAGAGTGAACTTCTTTATAGTTGATAACAGTACTTTCAACGATAGCCGCAGTGTCTTTATCCACATTTTGAAAAAAACGGCTCATGTTTGGAAAACTAATTTTGATATTACAGCATTCTTGCTTGACCTACCAAGATGTGTAGTGATTTTCTATTGTAAGTGATATTACAAGATTCATGCTATAATTTCAAAAAATAAATGCGGCACAGATAAGTAAAATTTGGCAAACCAACAAATAAATTGAAGAGTATAAGTAAAATTTATGTATAAAAGAAATACGGAGCAATACTTTCTGGAATGATAGAGATAGCAGGGTCATGTTGACAATGATCATTTTAGCATATAAGAGTTGTACCTTACCAGGACCTAAAAAAGTGTTTCTTGTTGAAACAGAACTGTTTTGTTTTTCCTTTTAGTTTATACTATTTTGAATGATGGTGAAATATTTGTAGCAGGGATCCAGAGCTAGTGAAAAGGATTGGAGCAGCAACTGCACTTGAAGTTAGAGCTACAGGAATCCAATATGCTTTTGCTCCCTGCATTGCTGTAAGTAGTGCTGGACTGATAAGTCACTGTTATCTTGGCTTTAGTTATAAATTATATTAAACTGTGTATATATATATATATATATATATATATATATATATATATATATATATATATATATATATATATATATATATATATATATATATATATATATATATATATATATATATATATATGTTTGTAGGGATCCGAGATGGGGACGATGTTATGAAAGCTATAGTGAAGATCACAAGATTGTGCGAATGATGACTGAGCTAATCCCTGGTTTGCAAGGAGATCGCCCGGCTAATTACTCCTATGGTGTTCCATTTGTTGCTGGAAAGTATGTTCCCTTCTCCCTCCCTCCTATGTTACTCCCTCCTATCTAAAATATCTTTCCAATGACTAGATGTGTTTCGCTCACAAATTAAATGGTACGTAGTACTCGTTATTCACAATTTATTAGAGTTTAACATAATACTTAAAATAGCTAAATCCACATGTTTGGTATGACTTTTGAAACATATAAGAACTCCTTTTCAAAATTTCAAAAGCTTTATGTTGCTGACTTGACTTTTTTGCCACTAGTATTATGGAAGAAGTCCTCATTTGAAAATATTTCACAACACATCCCATCCCTAACAGACAATTAGTTGTCATCCCATATTTATTACACTTTTGTGTATGACAGAGTGTTTTTTCAACATCTAGAGAACAACTAAAATTAAATGCGTTACTTTGAAAACAAAATTTTTTCCCTTAATAATTGACATCTGCTTTAGAATAGATGAAGTTTTCTGTTTTCCCCGAACTGACCTTGACTCTTAAATGGGGATGGATAAGCATTATGTCTAAGCATACTCTTAAACTATCCCACATTAGTTGAGGTTACTCCTTTTATTATGTATGTTACTTTTTAGTATGGATGAAACTTCAAGTCTTACTGTGGTATTAGGGACAATTAAGTTCCAACGAGGAATTAGATCAAATTTTAAGCCTAAACAACGAATACTCTGTAGATTTGTCTATTCAGTAGAGATATGCTAAAACAGCGTATCTGGATGCAAGCCAGAGTTTGATACTGTGTATTATTTTTTTAATATCTTCAAACTGCCTCTGTCAGATCAGGGGTAATTGAATAGGTAATGCAACTCTGATTATGTAAATCATGTGTTTGTGTGTGTGAAAAGGAACAAAGTAGCAGCATGTGCAAAGCATTTTGTGGGTGACGGGGGAACAGTTAGGGGGATTGATGAGAACAACACGGTAGTAGGCGCAACGGAGCTGTTCAGCATTCACATGCCGGCATATTATGATGCCATCAGGAAAGGTGTTGCTACCGTTATGGTTTCTTACTCGAGCATTAACGGCCATAAGATGCATGCTAACGGCAAACTTGTCACTGGCTTCCTCAAGAACCAGCTCAAGTTCAGGGTAAGCTTCATATTTTTTTGTAGTTATTTTTATCTTCCTAATTAACAATCACTAAGTTTTATGGAAATTTTCAATAATAATCAACAAAAGAAAGGCCCTAAAATATACTTTTGTTGTTGTTGATGATGTTCCTGAAGAGGGTCATTTTTATATATAACTCTTCCTTTCTTTATCTATAAATTAAAAGTGACCTTTACCAAGCAGATTATGAATCTTAACTAAATGTATTGTGCGTGATGTGTGTGTGTTTGCAGGGATTTGTGATTTCAGATTGGGAGGGCATTGATAGAATTACTAACCCGCCCAAGGCTAATTACACTTATTCGGTACAAGCTGGGATTCTTGCTGGGATTGACATGGTGAGCCCAATACTGATATTGAGATTTAATGTTCTAGAAAATAATGGTTTGCAAAACAACATGATTTTAGCTTACAGAAATATTTTCTTTCTTAAGAAAAAGTGGTTAATTTTCTATCAAGGCCAGATTTCCAGAACACGATTTAGTTTTTTGAAATAATATTTTTCACGTTTGGTTGCACAACTTTTTGTATATTCCTACTTTTATTTTTTCACTTTTGGTACACCTTCTAATTTACATCTTCTTTCCTTAACTTTTGGTAGTTGAATGACACAAAAATTGTGGGGAACTAACCATACCAACAGTTAGACCAAATCAGTAAGAAAAGAACCCATTTGTATGTCTATATGGGTACATTGTTTTGCAACAAACACTAAATTTGACGTTTTAAAGGGCCCTCCCTGGCTATGTCAATATGCCACAATCCTGCACTAAACGAGAAAACGAAAATGAATGTTGGATATCAACAAGTTAGAATCGCAGAATCGTCGCAGGACAAAAGTGGAACTTTTAGTTTAAAAACATGTCAAGCTAAAATTTGGTGACTTTTAACATGGCTGGGTGATGCAGGTCATGGCCCCTCAGAATTACAAAGATTATATTGGCAATTTGACTGATCTGGTGAATAAGAAAGTGATTCCAATGAGTAGGATTGACGATGCTGTGAGAAGGATACTGAGGGTCAAGTTTGCCATGGGTCTCTTTGAGAATCCATTGGCTGATCATAGCCTTGCCAACCAACTTGGAAGCCAGGTAAATATGAATATATACATGTCACTTGTATTGAATCCCTTACTTATGTGTGTGTTACATAAATTATCCAGAGTGGTTTAAAATGTGAGAAATGTTACTACTCCATATAAATTTGGACCCAGCTTCCTCTGTCGGAGCGGGAGTCCCCCATTGAGAGTTCCGGCCTCGGCGAGCCGGATTACATGGAGTTTGACTTTCTGGACGATGCCACCAGTGCTGCGGCTGCCGCCGGCCAGGAGGCTGAGGCCGAGGAGGGAGCCGAAGACGTCGAGGAGCCAGCCGCGGATGGAGGTGCCCAAGAAGCTTGATCGGCTACTCCCCGCTCCCTTGTAATTAGCTTTTTCATTTTGTGCCCAATTGATGTAATGGCCGAAGCGCCCACAATTGTACTAAATTGATTATAAATGAAAATTTTTGCTGTCCTGCTCGGCTATGAATTCCTTGTATGCTTATTTCCCTTTGCCATTTCAATTCTGAAATTTGTCTAAGTGTCAAGGTTACAACTTGGGTCACCCGCGAGTGTCCGCTACGTCCGTGAGGTAGTTCATCCTGTCCGGTGGCCTGGTCGGCCTGTTCGTCGTTTCTTTACTATCAGAACACTTAGGATTTATTCAAAAATTTCCTAAGTGTTTTGGGTCCACTTAGGTGCTTTCTTCCCGGCCTGGTGGCTTGGTCGGCCTGGCCGTCGTTTCTTTACTATCATAACACTTAGGATTTATTCAGAAATTTCCTAAGTGTTTTGGGTCCACTTAGGTGCTTTCTTCCCGGCCCTGACCGTGGTGTCCGCTCCGTCCTGGCGTTGTCCCATTTTCCTTTTTGGTCAGGATTTTTCTAAGTGTCTAACTCCAAGTGGATGGGTGTTCTCATCGTCCTGGTATTGAGTCTCTCCCCATTATTGGCAAATGATTTGGGAGATTTTCCAGGTGTTGAACCACTGTTGTTGTCGGCCCAGTGTTTTTCGTGGCCGTTGTGTTCCCTTGTTTCTGAGCTGATCATGAAGGGCACCTTGAACTTGCCTTTTTGAACTTAGAATTTTTCTAAGTACACATGCAAGGCGTAGGTAGCTAACGGCCTTGGAGTATACATGTACCTGCTTCGTCTAGAGTTTCTCCATTTAGGTACTTAGAGATTTTTCTAAGTATAAATGTGAGACATAGTTCCTTCTTTGCGGTACCGCTGCCGGCTAAGAGATGACCCTACCCTCATCGGCCAAGATCTGGCTTGTGGCCGATGAGGGTGCCCCTTGCTTTCCAAAAGAGATGGCCCTGCCTTCATCGGCTAAGACATAGTTCCTTCTTGAGGGACTTTTTTCCTCATAATTTTCTCTAAGTGTTTGGTAAACACTTGGGCAAATCCCCAAAGAACATTCGCTTGACCAACAGCCTGGGTTCCAGTGCCTGTATCGGCTATCCGGGATGCTGTGGCAAGTAGGGATTGTTTCTTGATTGCTTGATTCTTCCGTGGGTGTGATAGGTGCCCGCTTCGTCCTGGTCATCCTCATGATTGTGATTCTTTGTTTCATACCAAACGTTGGTGCTTCAAAGGACTGTGGCCGATGAAGGTTACCTCTCGCGTGTCACCCAACCGATTCGGTTAGGGTTTTATAGGCGTATGTTTCGGCCTGGACCATTCCCTTGTGGTGTGTGGTCGTGTCGTCCATGTTACGTGTCAGTGGTACTACACTTGTGTTCAACTGATATGTACTTGGCCTAGTTGGGCCTGAGTTGTGGGGATTTTATTTTTTCATTGCTCGAGGCCGGCCAGTGTGCGCGGCCGTCGGCTTCCCTCTTTTTCCCTTATATATGTTTTTTTTTGTTTTCGGGGAGTATCCTTCTTTCAGGCTTCGGCCGAAGGGTGTGCTCGTCCTTCGGCCGGTTCGGACTTCGTTTATAACGTCCGTGATCTCAGGGCGGGTCCCGTCGCCTATTTATGACGCGGGCTAGACTTTTGGTCGGTTTCCAACGGCTGTCGTTGCCCATCCCTGAGTTTTGGGATTTTGTCACCTCGGCCATGATTTCAGGCCTGTCGTCCTGCGATCTGGCGCGTGGACGACGCGGTGAGCTTCCCGTTTCAAGACGTGGGCCGTTTGCGGGCCCCTCGTCCTGGGGACATCGTCGGCCATGCCTGAGCGTTTCACTTGTAGGCTTACGGGGCCGGGACGATGTGCTCTCTCAGCTAGGCCTGAGCCCTTCGCTGATACAGAATACAATGGAACGCCTGATCTTGTCGGTCGTAGGCTGCAAGTGCAAGGGGCCCCGTCGTCCACGCCTGAGCCTTTCGCTCTAAGGTGGCCGATGAGGGCACCTGCTAATGTTTTTACTTTAAATTCAAGAGAAAAAATCAGGAGGAACATGATTTTATTCATAAGTGGCTCGAGGCCGAGGGTGGCGTTCAATCAGTAACCCGTTAAGGGGTGAGGGCTTCGCCGTCTACACCTCCTTCGGATTACTGATAAAACTTCACCAGATGGTGTACATTCCACATTCGTGGTACATTGGACCCATTCGGGCGTTTAAGCTTGTAGGTGTCGGGTTTGACCACGGCACTGACGATGTAGGGCCCTTCGTACTTCAATGCTAGCTTGCCACCCTCTGTTGGCTGGCTTGCTTCCCTTCGGCGGAGGACGTAGTCCCCTACCTGAAATTCCCGGGAACGTACCTTGGCGTCATAGTATGATTTTACTTGACGCCGGTAGTTCTCTGCTCGGACGTAAGCTTGCTCACGCCTCTCATCGACCAGGTGCAGGTCAATCTTCATGTTTTCTTCGTTGGCGTCAGGCTCGTATTGTTCCACCCGTCGGCTGGGGATGGCAACTTCCGTGGGTGCCTTTGCCTCAAAGCCGTAGCATAGGGCGAAAGGCGTTTCACCTGTCGCCCTCCTCGGCGTGGTTAGACATTTATGCCCCTAGTATCCAATAATATTAGACTTCCCTTATAAATCAACTTAAATTGGCCGATTAGTGAGGCTAGTAGATTTCGGTTATCTTTTTTTAATATCCATTGGATCAATTAAATCTATGGTTACATTTCATTCTCATTTCTCTCCTGTGACTTCATTCTCACCGGAACCATCCCCTATATATATATATATATATATATATATATATATATATATATATATATATATATATATATATATATATATATATATATATATATATATATATATATATCGGATCAGTTTTCTTTCAAAAATCATTTGACGACCTTCCCGATTGAATTTTTTGCTCAAATTTGGTATGGATGAGACTTGATGAGGAACATACCGAAAAAATTTCAGCCAAAAATACCACCGGTTCCTTGGCGTTCTCACGGGTTCTTATTTTAAGAGATTTTCTCAGTAGAACCCTCCCCTATATATATATATATATATATATATATATATATATATATATATATATATATATATATATATATATATATATATATATATATATATATATATATATATATATAGAGAGAGAGAGAGAGAGAGAGATATTAGCACAGTTTGTTTTCAATTATTTATTTAACTAACTTCCTGATTGAACTTTAGGCTGAAACTTGATGTACATACTTTACACTTAATGAAGAATATGTTCAAAAAGTTTAATCAAAATATTCCACTCGAAAGCATCTCAAATCACCTATATTTCATGATGACACCTACAAATGGTGTCTCCCAAGGAAAATCACATCATTTTTTTACTTTTATTTTTGGAAATTTAACTATATTCACTTGGATTTTTGTAAAAATAAAAAAGATTGTATTATTAAATTCTTCTTTCAGAAAATGTTTATAAAAAAGTTTAACATAATTTTTATTACTGCATTAATAAATAAAATGTAATGAAAGTAAAATATGTGGTGTATATAAAAGTCGAAGTGTAGTAGATATAGAACAATGTGGGGTATATCTATGTGTATGTTACTATGCTTTTTTGAAAGAAATATATGCACCTTATACTCTCTCTAGATTTAAAAATTTACTTCAAATATAAGTGAATGTTATGAAACCTTCACAAAAGAGTCCTTCTTGTTGTACCCACTTTTGTACACACATTTGTACATTTGCTTGTGTACACAGACAACTGGGAGAAAAATGATGCCTTCTTCTTAACGAGATTGGGAGTACAAAAGTGAGTACTAAAGTGGGTACAAAGAGATTTTTTGTTCGAGGACCTTCAATGCATGGCATATAATCGATCATGATTTAACTTTAAATTACATGATTGCAACATCCTAGTTTCTCTACGTGAACATGATACCGTTAGTTCTTCCAGGGTACCATGGTTATGAAGTTAAAACCTATGTTCTAATGTCATGAAAGGATTATATTTTAAGAATAAGCAATTATAGATAATCCCCTATTTGGCTATTTGACTAAATGTCATATGCTTTAGAATTTTGTGGTACTAGTTTTTCTTTCCGGCCAGGCTCCGGCTAGCATAGGGAGTGCGTACGTACCATGGCTTTCGGCCACCCTGCACTCGTTAAAACAATCTGCCCAATGCAAAATGAAAAGATATATACGGCATGAGAGAGAGATAACAAAATAAATTCATCGACTAATATGCACATTAATCATCCTATCCTAGATACTAGGCGGCCCTAGGGGGTGCAAGCTGGGCGGGCGCCCTAGGCCAAAAAAAATGGGTAACAAATATGCACAAATTTAGTTCTTTGTAATATGTGTGAGTAGGCTGATGTTTCAGCCTTAAACTAACATTTTTCGGGTGAAATTTGTTGAAGCTCTTCGGAATGGATTTTTTTGGTGAAAACTTATGATCATGCTCTCTATGAAGTTTGGAATATGTAAAAAAATCAGTTTAAAGTTCAAGTTAGAAGTTAGTAAAATAAATTATTGAAAACACTGCGTTTTTATACATAACTTGGCGTATTATTTTCAGTAATGTATTTAACTGACTTCACGATTGGGCATGCGGTGCACCTCCGGGCAAGGTCAGCACAATCCCTGGCCATGGTTGGCCAGAAGTAGCCCTGGAGAATGAGCCTTCGGGACATGGAGAAGGGTCCCTGGTGAGCTGAGCAAGTGCCACTGTGCACCTCCTCCATTGCGACCTCGGCTTCATCTGGATGAAGGCACCGAAGTAGCGTGCCATTGTAAGATCGTTTGTAGAGCCTTCCATCTTCGATGGTGTAGCTGGGAGCCCTCAGCTTTGCCAGTTTAGCGCGGGCCTCATTCTCGGGTAGCTGCCCTGTGGAGATGAAGGCGGTGATATCTGAGATCCAATCCTCCTGTCGTTGTTGTATGTTCATAACGGGGCTTGCATGGATGCTTGAGAGGCTGAGTTCCTCGATTTTGGCAATTTTGGAGATGTGCTCGGGGGAGTCGGCCGAGAGCTTAGATAATATGTCGGCCTCGGAGTTCTGTGCCCTCGGTATTTGAGTGAGGGAGTGTGCCTCAAATACCTTAAGCAACTCCTTGGCCGCT